TAAAAGTGAACTGAATTTGCACTATTTCTGGCAGTCTGCAACCCCTATATGTCTCACAAAACTACAGTTCCCAGAATTTACTAGCATTGAGCCAGGACAGTTAATGTGGCATCAATCTGCATTATTTTTGCAGTGTGTTCTGGACCTTAAGCTGCATCTGCACTGCATAAATAATCCAGTGTGAAACTGCTTTAACTGCCCTGGCTCAGTGCTTGGGAATCCTGGGAACTATAGCTTTGTGAGACATTGAGCCTTCTGTCAGAGTTCTGGTGCCACAATAAACTACAATTCCCAGGATTCCCTAGCACTCAGCCAGGGCAGTTAAGGTGGACTCAAACTGGATTATTTCCGCAGTGTGTTTTGGACCTCTGTTTTAGTAAAAATAAAATAAAAAATTGGGCCTTCTACACCAACACCTTATCTGAAATCTCAAACTCAAGCTCACACAAAGAATCCAAGCTCTGGTGCCACAGCAAACTACAGTTCCTAGGATTCCTTCGCATGGAGACATGGCAGTTAAAGAGGGATCAAACTGGATTATTTCTGCAGTATGGATGCAGCCTAAATCAGAAATCCCCCCCCCAACAAAAAAAGGATAAACGAAACTGCAATCCCTGAAAAGTCATTGGTCCAAAACACACTGCAGAAATAACCCAGTTTGAGGCCACTTTACCTGCCCTGGCTCAATGCTAGGGAATCCTGGGAATTGTAGTTTATTCTAGCACCAGAGTTCTCTAGCAGAGAAGGCTCAGGGGGGTTGCAGACTGCCATAAATAGTGCAAACTGAGTCCACTTTTAGGGTTAGGGTTAGTGCTAGGGAATCATGGGGATTGCTTTTTTTCTGAGACATTGAGCCTTCTCTGTCTGAGAGCTCTGGTGCCACAATAAAATACAGTTCCCATGATTTCCTAACCCTAACCCTAACCCTTAAAGTGGACGCAATCTGCACTATTTCTGGCAGTCTGCAACCCCCCTCAATGTCTCCACAAAAACACAATGTGCAGAATTCCCTAGTTAAAGCGGCCTCAAAGTGGATTATTTCTGCAGTGTGTTTTGGACCATTGTTTCATGACACTCCTTGCTGACAGACAGGGTTTAATTCCATCAAAACGTGATCTTCACAGAAGATCTCACAAGGAGGCTGCGGCACTCCTCACCCAAAGACAGACGGATACCCTTTTTCTAAAAAAAAGAGGGGGGGAACACACACACAGACACACAAACAAGACCAACAACAACAATAAAGCAAACAACACGGTCGAGGAGGCAGGGCTTTGTTTTAAGGCCATGCGTGGCAGAAGAAAGAGCTGGAAATGCACACAAGACACACAGCAGCAGCTTTGGCACGTCGTCGTCATCACACACACACACACACACACACACACACAACGAAAGAAGCGCTTTAAAAGGCGGCAGGCAGCTGCTGCCTTTGCAGACAAAGACTATTATGTATCAAAATGCGTAAGAAAACACGTGCGTTTAGACACAGAAGAAGATGAAGAAGAAAATGGGGGACAAAAAAGACACGCCACGATTTTCTAAGACGAGCCACTAACCTGGTTGTTGCTCTTTCCGTCTCCTTCTCCTCTTCTTCTCCTTGAGATGGCGGGTGTATGTGTGTGTGTGTTTTTGTTTTTAAATTAAATTAATAAAAGTAGAGGGTATCAATAATAATAATATAAATATTAATAAAAGTAGAGGAGATAAATCAGGTGGCGGGAAAGGCTGAGGAGGGGGGGGGGAAATGCCTTTTAAAAATGCTGCTCTTCGACGCCTGCAGGTGAGGAGAGGCTGAATCACTCCCCTTGACTTTTAATTTTAGACATATACATATATATATATATATATTAGTATCCTGTCCTATTACTTCCAGGCGCTCCTTGTCCCAAAAATGAGGTGGAAATGCCTTTTTAAAACGCTGTTCTTCGACGCCTGTAGGTGAGAAGAGACGGGAAATTTCTTTTTAAAAAGCGGTTCTTCGACGCTTGCAGGTGAGGGGAGGCTGAATCACTCCTATATATATATATATTAGTATCTTGTCCTATTACTTCCAGGCGCTCCTTGTTCCAAAAAATGGAGGGGAAATTTCTTTTTAAAAAGCTGCTGCTCTTCGACGCCTGCAGGTGAGGGAAGGATGAATCACTCCCCTATATATATATATATAGATATATTATATCCTATTATTTCCAGGCGCTCTTTATCCCCAAAAATGGAGGAAAAATGGCGATTTTTAAAAT